AAATTAGAAATATGACGTGTAATCTTCAAGTGTTTTGACGTGAGAAATGCTTTAAATGTGTTATTTCATTTTCCGTCATATACGTCATGAAACCTCTGTTGATGTGTTTCATGAAAGAGAAAACTATCAAACTCGAGCGTTCTTTCGCTCATCCATTTCGACGAAGCTTGAAAGGAAGACCAATGGAGCGACGGGAGAAAGAGAGACAAGCGATTGAACATTTGTTTGTGCACGCCGACTGAGGTTCTAGAATGCTGCGAAGCTGTTCGACTTTAACAGAAAAAGAAAGCCAGCAGTCTCTTCGTCGCATCTATTTGGTCGATTGAAGCTGATATTGTGACGCCCTGTTTACATTGCTCGATTAGAACCGCGTTTGACGGTTCGATTGGAACTTTTGGCTTCAGTCTTCGCGCGTCTCATATTAAACATAGGGACGTTGCGATACTACTGATATCAGTAAAGTATCGATACTTTTATTTCGATACCAAGTAATTAAGTATCGATACTTTACAATCGATACTTCTCCAATATCGATACTTTTATCGTGGTATCGCGGTATCGGTATCGAATCGGATGGAAAAACAAGTAACTTGATTTCGGTATATGCGTAAGTTGTAATAGGCGTGTAGACGCATATTTTTTAGTTGGCATTGTACCTGGCGAGACCGGTTTGCTCACTAAATGTGAACCCGTTGGAACAATGGGAGGACATGAAGTCAGTTTTTCCAGCGCTGTATCAGCAGGCTAGGATGCATATGGTCAGCATGGCAACTTCTGTTCCATGCGAGCGACTCTTTTCAAAGGCTGGATCTATAATTACTGAGACCAGAAACCGATTGTCAGCAAAATATTTACAGAAACTAATATTTCTAGCAAGCGTCGATGATGCTGAATGGTTCAATTATAGTTGGTTTAAATGCTTTTGTTTTTAATAAAATGATACAAACTGTTCGTTATTGATCTTAAACATGGGACTTTCAATTTAAATTCAATCACATTGCTTTTTTTATCAAATGATTCGATACTTAAAAGTATCGATACTTTGTTTCGATAGTATCGCAAATATCAGTATCAGTTATTCGATACTAGTATCGAATCAAGTATCGATACTTTTAAGTATCGCAACGTCCCTAGTTTAAACATCGTCTCTGGGGAAAATGGCTCTAATGTTGGCCTACGGACAAAGATATCTAATTAACAAGATATCCCACTAATCAATTATTTGAACAAGGCAATAGATACACCACCCTTAATGTTATCGCAGTGTCATCTGGTGAGTGCACATTGAAATTGTTGGAATTGTCCCCCGCCAACTTAACCGCCTTGGCTCAATATCTGGCAGGTGTCAGCAAGTCAGATGCCAGTGTGGACGTTGATGATCAGCCTAGGGAAGAGGACGATATCATCCTCGATGTCATCATCATTATATTGCGATAGCAAGATTCTCACTTTTTTGTGATCGCTCCGATTTTCAACCATTACAACTTTATACGCAACACTGCTAGATATAGAAAGACAATAAGGCTGTAAACGAGACAGTTGCGATCATTTGACTTTTTTGTTTACCAAGAACTTTTGACAGATCACAGTAAAACTGGCAGTTTATTCTCATATGAATTTCTGCTTTATTTATGTTTACATTCAGCACCATTAACACTAGATCACTCACATACTCTAGATTTCTAGCAGTCAGTTCCACTGAGAAACGTCTCTTGGATCACCTTATTAAACGTCAAAAAGGTCTATAATCATCTCTGGAGCCCCAAACTTTCTCTTTCTCGTTATTGCTTACTGAACTGTCACACTGGTTCTTTTCCAGAATCCATGTTCAAGGCAAGTGATGTGCAAAGGTGAAGGCAAAAAAAAAATCAATTTGAAATTGCAAATGCAAATGCACTGAAATTTTCTTTTTGGATCGAAACAAAAATCGAATGAAAAGGATCGATCCAGTCGATTTTTATCATGTTTGCAGGGCTGGTAGTGGGTATGCGATGTAATAGTAGTGACTTTAGTGACTAATATTATGAAAATAGTGACCAAATAGTGACCTTTGAAGAATTAAAAAGTGACCAATAGTGACATTTATTGATTGGAAAGATATTGTTCCGCTATTCCGATATTTTTCATGCTTTTTAAAAATAAAACAAATGATTTAAAGATCACATCAATTTGTTGTAAAAAAAAAGGTATGAATTGAAGAAGCAAAAGCACGGTCCAATTCTAACCTCCATTTCCTCACAAGAAATTGTTATTAGATCGCGAAATTGAGGCATAGAGAAAAATGTTCAAAGTACCGGTTTTAGACAATTTTAGGATAGCCATTTTTGAGGATCTAGGATGTATGTATGAAGCGATGCATTTAACAACATGAAGAACTGCAGTCCAGAATTAAATTTATATAGATCTAATTTAGCCATTAGTATATTAATAAAAGATCCCTCTCTTCTATGTAGTCGCTATATTACTAACTGGTCGTCTTTTTACTTTACTGTATTCCTCCCAAGAATAGAATCTTCTGTAACACCTCAAACATAGAAAAAGAATCATAACTCTGGGATCCAGACAGCTTTTCTAGATCGCAGTTTAAGAAAAAATCTCATTATTATGACCGAGATGGAATGATCACGGACAAAATTGAATGCGTCTAGGACTTAAAATCTCGATAGTGAAAAATAGAGATTTAGGAATACATTTTAGAGTTCTTTAATTTTTTTTCTAAGACCTGGACCCGTATTTTTTTTGTATTACCGGATATAAGTATGGAAAAATACAATACAATTTAATGGACTTAAAAAGGAACTCAAGAACCTGTGACATGGTTTATTTTTCTCGATATTTGGACAAATACTAAAGCTACCGAGGGGTTGCAGATTATTCAAATTTCTGGCTTTTGAACAAATGTTGAGAGCTTGAAAATTTTCCTAGACCATTTTTTTACATGGAACCAACGGGAAAGGTAATTTTTACCTGGAAATTCAGGTAACCTCTTCCAAATAGGAATTCAAGAGGGTTCACGTGCCACACATCATCATCATCATCATCATCGAAAGAAGTCATTGTATACAAAAGCTGTAACGCCCTAATTCCCAGCTCTGTCTTGAATTTTTTGTCGTATTCGTAATTCAAAGATGGCCATAGCAGAAAGTGCACTTTCGTCGTTGTTGGACGAGTTGGAATTACCAGGATTCTTCATGTTTTCAAGTATAAGTTTTATATTTTTTATAAATTAACACTCATTTATAAATTAAAAATGAAATTGCAGAATACGGGAATTGATTATTCGAGGTGCTAAGAATCAACAATTGACGACCTATAAGGGTGTTACTATACGATTAATGTACTTCGAGATCATCAGTGCCAATTATTAAATAATGTAAATTAGTGTTTTTTTTTTCTCCTAGAATGCAATCATTTAATGACTCAAATAAATCGAAATATATATCTATAGTATATCACCAGTTTACTTTATCATTACAACAAAATCTAGTAACATTTACTTGCCAATTCCCGTACCGTAACTTTTAAGTGATGCCAATTTGAAGATCATTGGAAAGTCCGAACAAATTTTCGTGTAAATCAATTGATTTCTATGTGAAAATATTTACGTGCCTTTTCAGGTGCACTTTAAGTAACTTTTTTTTGCAGTGTAGGTTTGGATAACTTTCAAGATCTCAATGTAAAATAGCCAGAATATTAAATTTAGAACATTTTTCGAAATCTCTGAACATTTATGTCATTTTTCAAGATAAAAAAAAATGCCAAATTCAAGATAAAAAAAATCATTCCCAGGTATTTTCAGCACACAGATTGGTAAAAGAAGCTTTTATCTAGCATCTGATAAAACAAACACAGCAAAAAACGGCTATGTGCTCAAGCTATTAACGAAAGAGAAAGTCGACGAAGAGAATCGATCAATGTAACTTAGGACCTAATGCAATGTTCAGCTTGATATGTTCGCAACTCTTCTTGTCAAATTTTACTTTGGGTTTTTAAAGTCAAATTCTTGACTCTCAACATTGGTCGTAAAAAGTGACTTTAGTGACTAAATTTGAATGAATAGTGACTTTAGTGACTTTTTGAAGAAAAATGTGACTTTTTAGTGACTGACTTGAAAATAGTGACCAAGTCACTAAAAAGTGACCTGCTACCAGCCCTGTTTTGGGATCGATTCAAACAATCGATTAATCGAACCGAAATTTTGTGTTTCGATCGAAGATCGCCCCATGGCAATAAATTATAATCTGGGCAAATTTGGAGATAACAGACTTGAACGACTAAATCAAAATATTAGTGATTGGACACTAATTGGACAACAGGAACGTCCCAAATCTTCTTGTCAGGCTTCACACGCTCATTTTTGATAAATCTTTATACCACAATTTTGTTACCTATTCAAGCTGTAATTTGATGTGCTTATTTAGAGACAAATTCTTTACTCTCAACGTTGGTCGTAAAAAAAAATACTTTAGTGTCTAAATTTTAATAAATAGTAACTTTAGAGACATTTTGATGAAAAAAGTTACTTTTTAGTGACTGACTTGAAAATAGTGACCTGCTACCAACCCTGGACAAACAACGGGATCGGTATATTCGTGGTTACCGTTTCTGCTTGCTGAGTAGATGGTCGTGAGTTCAATTCTAGACCTACTTTACCGATCGCATCACTTTACAGCAATGAATTAAGATCAAACAGAACGAACTTCACTTTTTTAACAGTTCAGATATATAACCAACAATGTTGAACGTAATGTTCTGATTTATATTCAAGGCACTTTATAATTATATATCTTGAACTACGTATATGCGTCGTTTATCTGGGGAATTTAGGTCAGACAACATTATTGGTATGCACTACTACTTCACTTTTAAATTGTTTATAGAATTTAATTATATGCACTAGCTGGAATGGTAAATATTTAAGCTTTAATTTTCAAGGTGCAATGTATCAAAATCTGCTGTAGTCACACAACGCATTGTTTCCTCTTAATTTAAAATCTCACCTTCGACTGACGTGAAGTTGTTCTTCTTTGGTGGATCGTACATGTACATCTTGAATGTTTATATAATCTTCTTCTCAATCAATACTATCACTCAACGAGCAATAACACACCAATTGTAACGAAATATCACTAGCTAACAAAAGTGTCAAGAAGGAATCAACAAACAGCTTAAATTAAATTACAGATAAAAACAAAAACACAAACAGCACTCTGGTCGGTATCTCTTGCAGCAGCAGATGTAAAATAATCCACTTTATTCTTCAAATGATGTCAACCGTGAATTGAATAGTTACAGACGTCGGCGACCACGTTCTACAGTCATCTATCACGAGGCATAGACAAAACGGCGAGGTATGGCACAATGCAATTCGCGCAGAGAGGAAACACGACTCTCCGATATGCTTCGGACCACCGACCCGGAGGGATATACGAGGCTGACGGTGATGGCGGTAAATTGGTGAAGGTCGCGCGCGCGATGAATGTATACGTCACGTCACGTTCGCGGCGTCTCCGGTTGCATCCGACTATAGCCAAGATAAAAGACGCACTGTCGTCGTTGGTTGATGTCCGGTCCGGGTTGTGGATCGTGTTCGGCGGCGCCAGCCAGTAAAGGTACACGCGCGTGTGAACTCTTTCAGCGTACGATCGTAACTGAGCCTATTGGCGCACTCATTCTCTCAGCCGCAGCCGCCGCAGTACCAAAACCACTCGATCTCCGTTTTCTGCCGAGCAGTTCAAAGGAGATAATTTCATTAAATTATATTCGGATGTTTTGTGTGTTGCGATTGTTGCTGGTTGCTACGAATGCCACACTGCCAGCCACCATATAATTCCAATGGATCATGTTTTCTCCTTGTGCAGTTTCCTCACACATACCGTCAGGGGACGCATACCGTCTGATGAGGAATTTGAGCCATGAGTTTACCACAGCATGCACTTCACCTGTCTATCATCATCTGTCGCCGTACAATGTACGAATATTCCAAGTTGTTGATTTTGTTATATTTAACAACTGATCAAACAATATTCCCTCTCTATAATGTATGGCATTTATATCTAGAGCTTGATTAGATCGAGATGCGTACATGCTCAAATTCAACAAAGCTTCGATCAAAACTAGAGAAGAGGACAACAAAGGCTCCTCTACAGTACATGCTGGCAATCAGCACCATGCGACTTCATCTCGCACTAAACAGTGTTAATAATAACGTGAAAAGAGGCGCACATCGGACAGGTTGCAAAATTGTACAAATTTACGTGTACAGATGCAGCTCGATCCGCCTGCCTTTTGCATATCCATACTCGGACGAAAATATCAACAACTGCTCGTTGCTGGCTGACTACCATCGGCTTCGTTTTCGTTGGAGGGGTAGACCGAGAAGATCAAGTCATATCGCATTTTTGGAAGCCGTCCCGTGCGAAAATTGCGAGCTTTGCCTCTGACCAAAACAGAAACAGAAAGTATGTTGCTTGCTTGCTGCTAGCATTTAGTGCTAGTGCTTCTCGACATTAACCACATACGCTGCTTGACTGGCTGCCTGCAACATCAAGGAGACGCAAGGCACGAGCAGCAAAAACAAAAGCAACTGACCAAAATGGTCATACCACTCTGACATAACGAGAATATTTAATGCTGTGCCTGCGTGTGTGCTGTAGGTATATGCGTAAAATGGCACACGGTGATGGTGGTGGGTACCTTATGAACACTTGATAAGAAATAATAATGATGGTAATCAATGAAAGGGTACAGCGGAAAAAATCGAACATTCACATGGAATGGTGAAATTTATGAAAAATGATAGCTAAAATCGAAACCAAAAATCATCTTTAAAATTACTCAAAACCACGAAAACTTTTTTAAAACATTTGAATTGCCTCAAACACGTTAAACAAACTCGCCTAGTAGCAAAGTGCCCAAAAAATGACCCCAAAATTTCCTTAAGGTTCAATTTACTTTGATGCATTTTCGAAAAATTCAAATGCAGTTTTTTTCAACTCATCATTTCAAATTGCAAAAAGCTCGCGCCATTCTATTCTTTTTGCTATTCGGAGATGAACCAGCCTGCGGCTGAAAATCTCCTAAATAGAGATAATAATAATTCTTTTTGCTATTATACATAAAATTACGCGAGCTTTTTGTAATCTCAAATGATGCGTCGAAAAAAACTGCATTTGAATTTTTCGAAAATGCATCAAAGTAAATTGAACCTTAAAATGCTCATGTTGAGTAGTTGTAGGGGAGTAGTGCAAAACGTAACATAACCGATCTTCAAATCGTCTGAACTTACTGAAAACAAAAACTCATAGAAAAACTCTCCAAAAATTGGTTAAAACCTTATACCACAGACAAACAAGACATTGAATATTTCTCATTGTAAAACATCGTCGCTAAAACATTATCGCCATCTGTTGAGTACACTGTGGTGGGTAGAACGCTGAACAGATGGCGGTAGTGTGTAAACGTCAAACGCAAGGGAATTAACCTCTTCATTCGAGCAGTTAAAATGACGTTTACTACCACTCGAACTTTGAAATGAAACATTATTTTGAGATTTTTTCTTCTAGAGCCACGAGAAAAGTAGCCAACATTAGTGCGTTTCATAAAAAATAGAAATTAGTTGGTAAAGTTTTGTGAAATTGCTGGTAAAAAGTCAATTGACTATGCGCGCCACAGGTGGCAGTACTACCATCTGAGATACTTTCAAATATACCGTTAAATGCTTTTTCGATGCACAACTTATGAGTTTTATGTCTGTTTGTCTGTGCCTATACCTTATAGGCGATTTCTCTAAAGAAATCCGTGACTTCAAATACTAATCCACGACAGATAAAAAACAGTTATAATTGTTTAAAAATACCATTTCAGTGCCAACAATTTCAAAGGGACGTAATTGCATTTGTAAACAATGGTTTTAGACGTCGATATCTCGTAAATAAAAGCTCACTCATAAAAATGTATGACTCCAACAGGTAGAGGAATGTTTTCATTATAGACTGTTCCGTTAATTATAAATACACTTTGTCAGTGAATTAAATAAAACTAGTGTAAAGTTCTAGGCCATTTCATTTTCAAATTTTGTTTATTATCCTGTTTTCTTTCACACATAAATTCAATTTTCAGGATTTTATTGAGAGTAACCAGACTGCCTAGCACATTACCTTCGCCTACCATTTTTACCTCATAAGACCAATCTTTCTTGAATTTTTCAACTGTATCCGCTGGTTTAACATGTTTCCTAAGCTTTGCCTTTGTCAAAGCCCAGAAAGCTTCGATAGGGCGAGCCTCAGGGCAATTTAGCGGTTTCATCTCTTTTGGTACATATGTGACTTTATGATTCTTGTACCACTTTAGCGAATCCTTTGAATAGTGGCAGGAAGCAAGATCAGGCCAAAAGATTACAGGTTTGTCATGCTGCCTGATGAAGGGTAGTAATCTGTTTTACAGACATTCCTTCGCGTAAACTTTGCCATTCATTTTGTCTGTGATTGTGATTGTGTAGTATAGAAGGGGGTCAAGGGCCAGGTCTCAGATACTCTTATGCTACATGCTATACCAGTAGACAGGGGGTGGCATCACAGCAGGTTAAATAAGTTCTATGTAATCCACAATTGTGAACCAGGGCGAGCCATAGTAACATCACCGGTAGGGTAACGTATCGGCAAGACCCCATCTCAACATTAATGTATTAGCTGCCATAAGGGAAGAGCGCCCTCTATAGGTCCGACGATGAGTCCGATGAAAATCCCAGTATGGCGTTTATTTCCTCATCAGGGAATCCCTCGAATTTCGTTGTGTAAAGTTCATCGCAGCTGTTATCGTCTGATACTATTCCATCGCTCACTTCGTACACAGATTCAACTATTTCTGTTGTTTGCCAGCTCTTTCATGGAATGGCCCGATCTCTTGATATCCTGTTTCACACTAGTTTTCCAGGTGTAATCGTCGATCAAACCAAATTCAAAGGTAGTACCTGTGTGATGTCGCATTCCAAAAGTGTTGAACCAAATGAATAATAATAATAATAAAAAAATGTTTTTTATTTTCGCAGCCATTAGACTCAATTATTTAGAAAAAAAAAACAATTCATTGTTAAAATCATAATTCTAAACTACACAATTATTTAATTTTGGTTTGTAGTCAAATACAACCAAACTTTTGGTCCGCTACATCACAACTGGCATCACTAGTGTGCATCTTTCAAAATGTAAAGATACAGACAAGCCCTGGGACCTGGTTGCAGTTAAGCAATCCTCAAGGTAATGCCAATGCCCAGAGAACTTTGCCTTTCATTGTGTCTGTCGTTATAAATGGTCGATTCAGGAACATCCTTTCCTTTGTGCGAAGTGTAGAACTGCGGTCCTGGCAGAGTCTAATAATCGAGTTTCACGTCATCATCCATGATTATACAACCCGATTTTTTCCCCAGCATTGAGTCGTACAGCTTCCAAGCTCTCGTCTTCACAAATGCAGCCTACTTTTTGCTTCATTTTGGTTGCTTGTGCTTCCGATGGGTTTCCAATTCCAATCTTTTCTAGGCCCGCATGACATTTGTTGCCGAAGTACCGATCTTCTTCGTCTCATCTGGCACTGATGCTGATGGATGCTAGGTTAGGTTAGGTTATCTTTATTAGCGAAACTTTCAGCCAGAGGCTGGTTCATCTCTTGACGAATATTGGGAAATCCAGAAGGGGTCCCCCCTAGTGACAGAGTTTGAAATAGCGGTGGGGAGCCAGAAGGAACCCCCTAGTTATAGAGTTAATGAGGTGGGGTATCCAGAAGGGACCCACTAAGTCCAGAAGAGACCTCCCTGGTAACAGAGTATTTGTTTATCATAGTTGGCTGTCGAGGTGTTGTCGTAGTTATTAGATGATTTGGTGCATTTGGTCGGCTAATTGTTATGGTGGTGTATGCAGAGTCCGTTATAGAGGTTGTTCCTGGTTCGATGCAGTGGGTCGGTTATGGTTGGTTCTTGTCAGTGAGTTAGGTCAGATGTTCTTATACATGTTGTCGTCCTTGATGAAACATATGGTGCAAAATAATAATTGATTGCTTCGAAATATTTTGCACATTTCTTGAAGCCATATTAAGCACAACACGCACTTAGTATTTCTTAATCTAGCGCAGCTTAGCACCAAACGGAATGTTATTATTACTGATGGCTTCCAAATTTATTTACCTTCCCGTACGTACCGTAAGATTTAATAAAGAGAAACAATGTTGAGATATTGTTAAAAGTCTAACACTGCTTCTTGACGCCAAACTCAGCCTACGCTTGATTGACCGCCCACGGTTGCTACTCTGTTACTGCCAGATCAGCTGTAATTACACAGAGAACCAATAGACGATGCTTGGGACTAGCAATCATCCTCAATGTGTAAAAACTGGTGATCTTAAATTAGGCAATACCAGCGCCGGCCGCGCCCGAACACAGGTCAAGAAAGGAATGGGAAGGATTG